TCAAAATATATTACAAAGCTACAGTATTCAAAACAATATCACACTTTCATCAAGATAGATGTATAGACCAGTGGAGCAGAAGAGAGAGCCCAGAAATAAGCCCACTCATCTATGATTCACTGATCTTTAACAAGGCTACCAAGAACATAAAAGGGGGAAAGGATAGTCTCTTCAACAAATGTTGTGTAAACTGGAAATCCACAGGCAAAAGAAGGAAATTGGATACTATCGTAGGCCATGGACAGAAATCAAAGCAAAATGGATCAAAGACTTAAATGTAAATTCTGAAACTGTAAAACTCCTCACAGAAAATGCAGGGGGAAAGCTTTTTGGCGTTGGTCTTGGTGATGACTTTGTTGTTTGACTCCAGAAACAAAGGCAACAGTACTAAAAATAGGCAAGTGGGACTAAATCATAATAAAAGCTCTGTACAGAAAAACTATCAGCAAAATAAAAAAGCAAGCTGAAGAGGCCAAGGCAGGCAGATTGCTTGAGCCAATGAGCTTGAGACCAGCCTAGACAACATGGTAAAACCGCATCTGTATAAGAAAATACAAAAAGTAGCTGGGCGTGGTAGCATGCATGTGTAGTCCCAGCTGCTTGGGAGGCCAAGGTGGGAGGATCTACTGAGCCCAGGAGATCGAGGCTACAGTGAGCCATGATTATGCCACTGCACTCCATCCTGGGAAACAGCAAGACCCTGTCTAAAAGAAAAAAAAAAAAAGGTAAAAGGAAGCCAAGGTGGATAGATCACCTGAGGTCAGGAGTTCGAGACAAGTCTGGCCAATGTGATGCAACCCATATCTACTAAAAAAAAAAAAAAAAATGCCAAAAACAATTAGCTAGGCATGGTGGTGCCCACCTGTAATCCCAGCTACTCGGGGTGGGGGGGCTAAGGCAGGAGAGTGGCTTGAACCTGGGAGCCAGTGGTTGCATGCAATGAGTCCACGTGGCATCACTTCTCTCCAGCCTGGAACACAGAGTGAGATCCCATGTCAAAACAGAGAGAAATAGAAGTTAAATATTAGCAAACCATCTATCAAGGTATGAGGTCAATATCCAAGTAAGTAACTCATACAACTCAATAGCAAAAAAAAAATTTAACCTAATTTTAAAACAGGCAAAGATGAATAGACATGTCTCCAAAGAAGACATATGGCCTCCAGTTATATAGAAAGATGCTTGATATCATTAATCATGGAAATGCAGATCAAAACCACAGTGAGATACCAACTCACGTCTTAGCATGTCTGTTATCAAAAATAAATTTAAGACCTGGCATGGTGGCTCACACCTGTAATCCCAGCACTTTGGGAGGCTGAGATGGGCAGATGCTTGAGTCCAGGAGTTCAAGACCAGCCTGGCCAACATGGCAAAACCCGTCTCTGCTAAAAATACAAAAACAATTGGCCAGGCATGGTGGCGCACACCTGTAATCCCAGCTGATCAGGAGGCTGAGGTGAGAGAATCACCTGAGCCTGGGATATTGAGGCTGCAGTGAGCTGAGATGGCGCCACTGCACTCCAGCCTGGGCAACCAGAGTGAGACCCTATCTCTAAATAAATACATGTTTGTGAGGTTGGAGAAAAATTGGAGTTTTTATGCAACTGTTTGTGGGAATGTAAAATGCTGCAGCCACTAGGGAAGGCAGTATGGCAGTACATCAAAAATAGTACTGCTGAATGATCCCATAATGGAATATTTCTGGATATGTATACAAAAGGATTGTAATCAGGATCGCAAAGATACCTGTACCCCCATGTTCACTGAACCATTATTCACATTAGCCAATATAAAGAAACAGCCCAAATGTCCATCAAAAGATGAATAAAGAAAATGTGATATATACGTGCAATGGAATAATATTCAGCCTTAAAAAAAAAAAAGAGAAATCCTGCTATATGAAACAACCTGGATGAACCCACAGGACATTATGCTACATGAAATATGCCAGTCACAGAAGGACAAATCATGACTCCACTTATGTGAGGTGTCTAAAATAGTCAGACTCACAGAAGCAGAGAATAAAATGGTGATTGCTGGGGCTGTATGGAGAGAAAAATGGAAAGTTGTTAATGAGCATAAAATTTCTGTTCTGCAAGATGAAAAAGTTCTAGAGATCTGTTGTACAGCATAGTACCTATAGTTAACCATATGGTATTGTGCACTTTAAAATATGTTAAGAGGATAGATCTCATGTTTTCTTACCACTGGTACATACACACACACATTTTAGGATGTGAGGGATATGTTTAGTATCTTGATTATGGTGGTGATATCACAGGTTTCATTTATATGTCCAAATTCATCCAGATACATGTATTACATTTGTACAGTTTTGTATGTCAATTATACTTCAATAAAGCTTTAAAAAAAAAAAAAAAGGGCAGAGAATTCTGGCAAAGAATTAGATGGGCCAGGCATGATAGCTCACACCTGTAATCCCAGCACTTCAGGAGGCTGAGATGGGTGGATCACTTGAGGTCGGGAGTTTGAGACCAGCTTGACCAATATGGAGAAACCCTGTCTCTACTAAAAATAGAAAATTAGTGGGGCATGGTGGCACATGCCTGTAATCCCAGCTACTCGAGAGGCTGAGGGAGGTGAATCGCTTGAACCCAGGAGGCAGAGGTTGCAGTGAGCTGAGATTGCGCCATTGCACTCCAGCCTGGGCAACAAGAGGGAGACTCTGTTTCAAAAAAAAGAATTAAGTCGTCATAGTTAGGTAAGTGTCCATCAAAATATGGGAAGATGATGCCTCAAAAAGTGAATACAGCATTCCAGCTTGTCCAACTAAAGACAAGTATGTTGGGCTATCAGAACTTGATGTCATTAAATGTCTGAAGCCATAAGCCTTCCTTCCATTTAATCCTGATAGTTAAGCAACCTTAAGACAATTTGCCTTGCCTTGTACATTTCTTTAGGAAAACCTAAAGAAAGAGAATGGGTTGATATGGTCATTCAGTACAAATCTCTGTTGTGCAAGACAATTGTTTTTTCCTCATAATTTTGGTCTCCTGAGTTGGCTTAGCAGAATTAGTCTTCATGCTTCTAAATAAGTTTGTGGTGACTAAAATTTATATGCTGTAAAACCAAGGAGAATAGATTATATTGTGGTTATTCACCAAGATAAAGACACTGTATTAAATTTTTTGAAAACTAGCCACCTGGCTTTCTGCATGGGCAATGAAATCTTTCCAAATTCTTTACTTTCAGGTTTCTAGAATAGATTGTAATTACACGGTTTTTTTGTTTTTAGTATTTTTTTGTCAGAGTCATATAACTCATAAGTATACTAGTATAATTGTCATTCTGGTTTTATAAGTGTGTAAAATCTTCCAGATTAGCATATGACATCATATTATATTTAACTGGAGGCTTTGGTAAGGACTTGTAAACTTTCAGGTTTGAAATGTGCTGGTGTAGTTCTTAAATGTTCTGGTGGCCAGAGATTATGTTTTTGATAGATGGGTACAGGTTTTAAAAATAGATACAACTTTTTTGATAGGCCACAACTAGTTTCCTAAGCTGTCCCTAGAAATGAAAGAATCATTTATATGAAAGAATGAACACATTTCATCAAGAATCCCAGATTTTTAATAATAAAGTTTGATGACCATTTTTAAAAATTCTATTATGGTAATAGATATATTGGCTATACAATTAAGTCATTGTTGGTATTTTTACACCATTGTTTTAAACAATGAGGTTCTGATGAACATTTGTAAGCCCTCTATTGACCCAATCACATGATATGTAATTCCATTTTTGTATAAATCCTGTCCATCAAGGATAACTGAACAGAAGATTTACATAAACAACCTTTCACTTTTCCCTTTCAATCTTAAACCAAGTGCATTTAGTGTTTCATATCTGTGGTCCCTATGAGGCAGTAAATCTCAGTTGGAAAGCACATGCCTACCTCCCCGAAACCCCTGTATGCTGAAAACCCTATATCTTTGTAACGTAAAATGTTGCTGATGGGAATGGATTATGCATGTAAACACTGTAAAGGAATTTTTTTTAAATATATGTGTGTGTTGTATTCATATGTGTATATATTTTAATAAACTGATTATAAAGTTTATATGGAAAGGAAAAGACTTAGAATAGCCAACACAGTATTAAAGGAGAACAAAAAAGTTGAAGGACTAACACTACTTGATTTCAAGACTTACTAGAAAGCTCCAGTTGTCAAGACATTTGCTAAATGAATAGATAGACATATTGCTAAAACAAAGAAAAAAGAAAAGAATAGACAAATACACCAATAGAATAAAATAGCCCGGTAACAGACTCATATAAATTCAGTCAACTTATCATTGACAAAGGAACAAAGGCAAGACAATGGAGAAAAGATAATCTTTTCAACAAATGGTGCTAGAACAGCAATCCATGTGCATAGGTTTTAGAATTACACCCCACACCCTTTACAAAAATTAACTTTAAAGGAATCACAGACCTAAATGTAAATGCAAAATTATAAAACTCATGGAAGATAACACAGGATGAAAACCTAGATGATCTTGGGTTTGGCAGTGACTTTTGAGCTACAACTCCAAAGATACAATTTATGAAGAAAGTAACTGATAAGTTGGACTTCATTAAAATTTAAAAATTCTTGCCCTACAAAAAAACATTGTTGAGAAAATAAGAAGAGAAGCCCCTACTACAAAGAAATATCTGCCAAAGAGATATCTGATAAAGGACTGTATTTAAAAATGTACAATGACTCAACAATAAGAAGACAAACCAATAAAAAGCGAGCCAAAGACCTGAACAGACACTCATCAAAAAAGGTATTTATGGAAAACTTGGAGAGAGTTTTAAAGATAGTAATAATTTTTAAAATAGTAAAAAATATATAGATGGCAAATAAGCATATGAAAAGATACTCAACATCATGTCATCAGGGGATTGCAAATCAAAATAGCAATGAGATACCACTGCACACCTATTAAATTAGCAAAACCCAAACTCCAAAACATATCACCAAGTATTGGTGAAGCTGTGGAGCAACAGGTACTGTTTATTCATTGCTGGTAGGAATGCAAAATGGTGTAGCCACTTTTAAAGACATTCGGCAGTTTCTGTCAAAATTAAGCATACTTTTACCATACTTTATGACAGTCGAGCCCCTTGTTATTTACTTTTAAAGAAGTTGAAACTTAAGCCCACACCAAAACCTGCAAACAAATGTTTATGTCAACTTTATTAATAATTGCGAAAACTTGGAAGCAACCAAAATGTCCTGCAGTAGGTAAATGGATAAATCAACTTTGGTACATTGAAACAATGGAATACTATTCCATGAGAAAAAGAAATGACCTGTTAAGCCATAAAAAGACATGGAGGAAACAAAATATCTTTCAAAGTGGCTGTACTATTTTGCATATTACTAAGTGAATAAGAAGCCAATCTGGAAAGGCTATAATACTGTAATATTGTATGATTCCAATTTATGACATAATGGAAAAGGCAAAACTGGAGACAGTAAAAGATCAGGGGTTGTGAAAAGGTTGGCAGTGAGAGGGATGAATAAGCACAGCATAGGGGATTTTTTTTAAAATAACAGATGTTGGCAAAGGTGCAGAGAAGGGGAAACACTTATACACTGTAAACTAGTAAAACCTCTATGGAAAACAGTATGGAGATTTCTCAGAGAACTAAAAATAGAACTGTCATTCAATCCAGCAATCTCATTACTATGTGTCTACCCAAAAGAAAATGAACCATTATATCAAAAGATACCTGCATTCATATGTTTATTGCAGCACTTTTTACAGTAGCAAAGTTGTGTCCATCAGCAGATAAAGAAAATGTGGTACATAGACATCATGGAATACTAACCAGCCATTAAAAGGAATGAAATCATGTCTTCTGTGGCAACATGGATAGAAATGGAGGCCATTAGCTTCAGTGAAAAAACTCAGAAATACCACGTTTTCACTTATAAGTGGGAGCTCAATAATGTCTACATGTAGACTGAGTGATAGACATTGGAAACTCCAAAAGGTGGGAAGATGGGAGCCAGGTAAGAGATTAGAAATTAACTTTTGGCTACAATGTACATCATTTGGGTAATAGTTACACTAAAAGTCCAGACTTCACCACTACACAATATACCTGTGTAACAAAAGTGCACTTGTACCCCTAAATTTATAAAAATAAAAATACTTGTTTATTTTACAAATAAGAAAACTAACACAGAAAACTATTGCATTTTGAACATTTAATTTCCTATTCAGTGTTCTTTTATCTCCCTTCATTTCTTACAGGCAGTCCCTTGAAAATGTAATTAATATTCTTGCTAATTATAATGTGATTTATGTTGATTGTCTGAATCAATGAGAGACACTAGCTGCTTCATTCAAGCCAGCATTGTCAGCTATATGAAAAAGAAAATAATTACAAATACTTAAATGATTTGCGTCTAGCAGATGTAATATTTAATATTTTTAACATTGTATGTCAGGAAAAATTAACCTGTTACACTTTGAATTTGACAGTGAGCATAACTCAGTGAAAACTCTTGGATTGGGGAGGGTTAAATAAGTTTGATTAAGAAAATGAAATGAATGGACAAAATCTTTCATATGCAGTTTTCCAGTACTGGGAATTGTGATGTTCATTTGGTTAATACTGACTAGATTATTTCAGTGCATACAGAATCACTGAGTCATGATCTGAATGATGAGGAGTTCTAAATTGCTGAGTAGCTGAGAAAATTCATTGTTGCTTGTCAATAAATTTTAAGTGCCTAGTACAATGACATTACAAGATTTTAGTCACAATTTAAAAGGGAAGTAGAGATCAAACTCAAATAACAGCTTTGAGATAAATAAATTTGGAAGTATTTTATTAAACCCTACTTTTCATTTAAACTACTAGTAACCAGAATGGAGGTATAGTCAACATTGTACCAATAATTTCTTAAGTATCAACACTTTTGTTTAAAAGTCTTTGTCATTAGCCATGAGAGTGAAAGGTTTTTCCCCTTTTATTTTTTAATTCATAAGATCTTCACATTCCATCACTAGGAGATAAGTGCTCTTTACCACATACAATACATAAACTAGTACATATTCAACCAGAGTACATTAAATGACCTTCTGTGTCCCCTTCTGTGACTTTGATAAGTAGGAATCGCTAATATTATAATTAAGGGAATTTTTTAACTAAATGGTTGAAATAGTACAAAAGGGGGAGATTAAGGAGAGCAGACAAAAGGATGGATGTCTTGGAAAATGTGGATAATCTATCTACATTGTATGTTGAGTGGCCCAAAGGAGGGGGAAGAGAAAAAAAGGAATACCCAGACCTTGATGTAAGTGGTAGAGATTGGGAAAACTAAAAGAATGGAATAAACACCATCATAGTCATCTCAAATTCTTTAAGCATATTATAGGAAATAAGTAGAGAAAAGTTGCTGTTTGGACAAGATACATAAACCATGGCTAAGTTCATTTTTCCCTGCCTCTGTATATCTTTCTTTTGCTCTTTGTTTGAAGAGATTGAGAAAATGAGGATTCCTACCTCTTGTGTGGGGATATGCTTTTGAATCATTCATAGCTGGTAGGCTGCATTTTTTCAGGTGTGAGTACAGACAACAGTGGAGATTAAATAGGGTATCTTCAAGATAAATGAGGTGCACTCAGTGGAAAGTCAGAAATGACATCATAGGTGAAGAAACGTGAGATCATTAGCTATATTTATGAAAGATGGTTGTCTTTGTGAGCTTGGGGATTTTTAAAAAGTCTTGGAGGTGGGTTGTATTTGAGTTAACGGAAGGTATGGTAGAAAGAGTATGTTTCTCTGTATGTACTTTCTAATATCTACAACACACGGCAGGATAATCAAGATGTGGTTTTGTTGTAGGATTTTTTTTTTAATTATATAAACATCTCAACTCCTACTGTTTCGTAGTGAAAAACTAGTCACTCGCCTTAGAATTTAGATTGTTACATTTACAGCCAGAAAGGATGAAAATGGTATAGGCTTTCTGCTAAATATATTAATCATAAGATCAGTGATATTAACTATATGCCTTGAATTACATTTCTGTCAATGACAGTATGTTTTTAAGTAAAGCTAACCAAAAACTGGCATAGGTACATTGCAATATTCTTTAGAGCAGCACTGGCCAATAAAAATATAATATGGGCCAACTATGTGATACTAAATTTTCTAGAAGTGATATTGAGGATGCAAAAAGAAACAGGTGACATTAATTTTATTTTTTTAATATATATATTTTATTGTGTTTTAAGTTTTGGGGTACATGTGAAGAACATGTAAGATTGCTGCATAGGTACATACATGGCAGTGTGGTTTGCTTCCTTCCTCCCCATCACCTATATCTGGCATTTCTCCCCACTTTATCCCTCCTCAACTCCCCCCACCGCTGTCCTTCCCCTAGTTCACCCCCACAGACCCCAGTGTGTGATGCTCCCCTCCCTGTGTCCATGTGGTCTCATTGTTCAACACCCGCCTATGAGTGAGAACATGCGGTGTTTGATTTTCTTTTTTTTTTTTTGAGACGGAGTTTCACTCATGTTACCCAGGCTGGAGTGCAATGGCACGATCTCGGCCGGCTCACCGCAACCTCCGCCTCCTGGGTTCAGGCAATTCTCCTGCCTCAGCCTCCTGAGTAGCTGGGATTACAGGCACGCACCACCATGCCCAGCTAATTTTTTGTATTTTTAGTAGAGATGGGGTTTCACCACGTTGACCAGGATGGTCTCGATCTCTTGACCTCGTGATCCACCCGCCTCGGCCTCCCAAAGTGTCAGTTTGCTGAGAATGATGGTTTCCAGGTTCGTCCATATCCCTAGAAAGGACACGAACTCATCATTTTATATAGCTGTATAGTATTCCATGGCGTATATGTGCCACATTTTCCCTGTCCAGTCTATCATCGATGGGCATTTGGGTTGGTTCCAAGTCTTTGCTATTGTAAACAGTGCTGCAGTGAACATTCGTGTGCATGTATCCTTATGATAGAATGATTTATAATCCTTTGGATATATACCCAGTAATGGGATTACTGGATCAAATGAAATTTCTATTTCTAGGTCCTTGATGAATTGCCACACTATCTTCCACAATGCTTAAACTAATTTACACTCCCAAGAGTGTAAAAGTGTTCCTGTTTCTCCACATCCTCTCCAGCATCTGTTGTCTCCATATATTTAATGATCGCCATTCTAACTGGCGTGAGATGGTACCTCAATGTAGTTTTGATTTGCATTTCTCTAATGACCAGTGATGATGAGCATTTTTTTTTCATGTTTGTTGGCCTCATATATGTCTTCTTTTGTAAAATGTCTGTTCATATCCTTTGCCCACTTGTGAATGGGTTTGTTTTTTTTCTTATAAATCTGTTTTAGTTCTTTGTAGATTCTGGATATTAGCCCTTTGTCAGATGGGTAGATTGCAAAAATTTTTTCCCATTCTGTTGGTTGCTGGTTCACTCTAATGATTCTTTCTTTTGCTGTGCAGAAGCTTTGGAGTTTGATTAGGTCCCATTTGTCTATGTTGGCTTTTGTTGCCAATGCTTTTGGTGTTTTAGTCATGAAGTCCTTGCCTATGCCTATGTCCTGAATGGTTTTGCCTAGATTTGCTTCTAGGGTTTTTATGGTGTTCGGTCTTATGTTTAAGTTTTTAATCCACCTGGAGTTAATTTTAGTGTATGGTGTCAGGGGGTGTTCCAGTTTCTGCTTTCTGCACACTGCTAGCCAGTTTTCCCAACACCGTTTATGAAACAAGGAATCCTTTCTCCATTGCTTGTTTTCATCACTTTGTCAAAGATCAGGTGGTTGTAGATGTGTGGCATTGCCTCCGAGGCCTCTGTTCTGTTCCATATTGGTCTATATCTGTGTTTCGATACCAGTACCATGCTGTATTGCTTACTGTAGCCTTGTAGTATACTTTGAAGTCGGGTAGCTTGATGCTTCCAGCTTTGTTCTTTTTGCTTAGGATTGCCTTGGCTATGCAGGCTCTCTTTTGGTTCCATATGAAGTTTAAGATGGTTTTTTTCCAGTTCTGTGAAGAAGGTCATAGGCAGCTTGATGGGGATAGCGTTGAATCTATAAATTACTTTGGGCAGTATGGCCATTTTCACCATATTGATTATTACTAACCATGAGCATGGTATGTTTCTCCATCTGTTTGTGTCCTCTCTTAGTTCATTGAACAGTGGTTTGTAGTTCTCCTTGAACAGCTCCTTTACACCCTTTGTTAGTTGTATTCCTAGGTATTTTATTCTCTTTGTAGCAGTTGTGAATGGAAGTTCACTCTTGATTTGGCTCTCTTTGAGTGTGTTATTGGTGTATAGGAATGCTTGTGATTTCTGCACATTGATTTTGTATGCCGAGAGTTTGCTAAAGTTGCTTATCAGTTTCAGATTTTGGGCTGAGACGAGGGGCTCTTCTAAATACACAATCATGTCATCTGCAAATAGAGACAATCTGACTTCCTCCTTTCCTAACTGAATACCCTTTATTTCTTTTCTTGCCTGATTGCTCTGGCTAGAACTTCCAATACTATATTGAATAGCAGTGATGAGAGAGGGCATCCTTGTCCAGTGCCAGATTTCAAAGGGAATGCTTCCAGTTTTTGCCCATTCAGTATGATATTGGCTGTGGGTTTGTCCTAAATAGCTTTTATTATTTTGAGATACATTCTGTCAATACCTACTTTATTCAGAGTTTTTAGCATAATGGGCCGTTGAATTTTCTTGAAGGCCTTGTCTGCATCTATTGAGATAATCGTGTGGTTTTTGTCTTTAGTTCTGTTTATCTACTGGATTACGTTTGTAGACTTGCATATGTTGAACCATACTTGCATCCCTGGGATGAAGCCTACTTGATCGTGATGGATAAGCTTTTTGATGTGCCGTTGCAGTTGGTTTGCCAGTATTTTATTGAAGATTTTTGCATCTATATTCATCATGTATATTGGCCTCAAGTTTTCTTTTCTTGTTGAGTCTCTGCTGGGTTTTGATATCAGGATGATGTTGGTCTCATAAAATGATTTGGGAAAGATTCCCTCTTTTTGGATTGTTCGGAATAGTTTCAGGAGTGGTACCAGCTCCTCTTTGTACGTCTGGTAAAATTCGGCTGTGAACCCATCTATACCTCGGCTTTTTTTTGTTGGTAGGCTATTAATTGCTGCCTCAAGTTCAGCGCTTGCTATTGGTCTATTCGGGGTTTTGACTTCTTCCTGGTTTAGGCCTGGGATGATGGAAATGTCCAGGAATTTATCCATTTCTTCCAGGTACTGGTTTATGTGCATAGAGTTGTTTGTAGTAATCTCTGAAGGTGGTTTGTATTTCTGTAGAATATGTGGTGACATCCCCTTTATTGTTTTTTATTGCATCTATTTGATTATTCTCTCTTTCCTTTTTTATTAATCTGGCTAGAGGACTATAGTTTGTTGATTTATTCAAAAAACCAGCTCCTGGATTTACTGATTTTTTTGAAGGATTTTTTTGTGTCGCTGTCTCCTTCAGTTCTGCTCTGATCTTAGGTATTTCTTGTCTTCTGCTAGCTTTTGAGTTTTTTTTATCTTGTTCCTCTAGCTCTTTAAATTTGATGATAGGATGTCAATTTTAGATCTTTCCTTGCTTCTCATGTGAGCATTTACTGCTATGTAGTTTCCTCTAGACACTGCTTTGAATGTGTCCCAGAGATTCTGGTATGTCGTGTCTTCGTTCTCATTGGTTTTGAAGAACATCTTTATTTCTGCCTTCATTTCGTTTTTTATCCAGTCAACATTCAAGAGCCAGTTGTTCAGTTTCCATGAAGCTATGCTGTTCTGAGTTAGTTTCTGAATTCTGAGTTCTAATTTGATTGCACTGTGGTCTGAGAGACCGTTTGTTACGGTTTCCATTCTTTTGTATTTGCTGAGGAGTGATTTACTTCCAAAAATGTGGTCAATTTTAGAGTAGGTGTGATGTGGTACTGAGAAGAATGTATATTATGTATATTTGGGGTAGAGAGTTCTGTAAATGTCTATTAGGTTTGCTTGGTCCAGATCTGAATTCAAGTCCTCGATTCCCTTATTAATTTTCTGTCTCATTGATCTGTCTAATATTAACAGTGGAGTGTTAAAGTCTCCCACTATATTACTGTATGGGAGTCTTAAGTCTCTTTGTAGGTCGTTAAGAACTTGCTTTATGTATCTGGGTACTCCTGTATTGGGTGTATATATATTTAGGATTGTTAGCTCTTCTTTCTACATTGATCCTTTTACCATTATGTAATGTCCTTCTTTTCTTTTTTGATCTTTGTTGGTTTAAAGTCTATTTTATCACAGACTAGGATTGCAACTCTTGCTTTATTTTGCTCTCCATTTGCTTGGTAAATCTTCCTCCATCCCTTTCTTTTGTACCTATATGTGTCCCTTGCATGTGAGATGGCTTTCTTGGATTCAGCATAATGATGGATTTTTTACTTTTTATCCAGTTTGCCAGTCTGTGTCTTTTGATTGGGGCATTTAGCCCATTTACATTTAAGGTTAGTTAATATTGTTATGTGTGAATTTGATCCTGCCATTTCGATGCTAGCTGGTTGTTTGGCCCTTTAGTTGACACAGTTCTTCATTGTGTCGATGGTCGTTTTTGGAGTGGCTGGTTCTGGTTCCTTTCTATGTTTAGTGCTTTTTTTCAGGAGCTCTTGTAAGGCAGGCCTGGTGATGATGAACTCTTTCAGCAATTGCTTGTCTGTAAAGGATTTTGTTTCTGCTTCATTTATGAAGCTTAGCTTGGCTGGATATGAAATTCTGGGTTGAAAGTTCTTTTCTTTAAATATGTTAAATATTGGCCCCCACTCTCTTCTGGCTTGTAGGATTTCTGCTGAGAGATCCACTGTGAGTCTGATGGCCTTCCCTTTGTGGGTAACCCAACATTTCTCTGTGGCTGCCCTTAGCAGTTTTTCCTTCTTTTCAACCCTGGTGAATCAGACGATTATATGCCTTGGGGTTCCTCTTCTTGAGGAATCTCTTTGTGGTGTTCTCTGTATTTCCTGGACTTGAATATTTGCCTGCCTAACTAGGTTGGGGAAGTTCTCCTGGATAATATCCTGAAGAGTGTTTTCCAGCTTGGATTCATTCTCTCCATCACATTCAGATAAACCTATCAAATGTAGATTAGATCTTTTCACATAATTCCATATTTCTTGGAGGCTTTGCTCATTTCTTTTCACTCTTTTTTCTCTAACCTTGCCTTCTCTTTTTATTTCATTGAGCTGATATTCAATCTCTGATATCCTTTCTTCTGCTTGGTCAATTCAGCTATTGAAACTTGTGTATGCTTCACGAAGTTCTCACATTGTTTTTTTCAGCTCCATCAGGTAATTTATATTCTTTTCTAAGCTGTTTACTCTTGTTAGCATTTTGTCAAACCTTTTTTCAAGGTTCTTAGTTTCTTTTCATTGAGTTAGAACATGAACTTTTACTCAGAGAAGTTTGTTATTACCCACCTTCTGAAGTCTATTTCTGTCAATTCCTTAGCCTCATTCTCCATCCAGCTTTGTTCCCTTGCTGCTGAGGAGTTATGAACCCTTGGAGGACAAGAGGCATTCTGTTTTTTGTTTTTTCATCCTTTTTTCTCTGGTTTCTTTCCTTCTTTGCGGATTTATCTACCTGTGGTCTTTGTATTTGGTGACTTTCGGATGGGGTCTCTGAGTTGGACATCCTTTCTGTTGATGATGAACTTATTTATTTCTGTTTTTTTGGTTTTCTTTCTAACAGTCAAGCCCCTCTGCTGTAGGGCTGCTGGAGGTCCACTCCAGACCCTGCTTGCCTAGGGATCACCTGCTGCAGCTGCAGAACAGTAAGGGTTTCTGCCAGTTCCTTCTTCTGTTATCTTCGTCCCAGAAGGATTCCTGCCAGATGTCAACCTGAGCTCTCCTTTATGAGGTGTCTCTTTGGATATACAGGTGTCAGGGAGCTGCTTGAGTAGACAGTCTGTCCTTTATAGGCGCTCAAGTGCTGAGCTGTGAGCTCCATTGTTCTGTTCAGAGCTGCTGGACAGGTACATTTAAGCTTGCCGCAGCAGAACTCATAACCACCTCTTTTCCCAGGTGCTCTGTCCTGGGATGATGGGGCTTTATTTATAAGTTCCTGACATGCTGCTGCTTTTTTTCAGAGATGCCCTGCCCGGCGAGGAGGTAGCCTAGTTACAGTCTGCCAGCAGAGGTGTTGCTGAGCTGCCGTGGGCTCTGCCCAGCTGCTGTGTGAACTTCCTTGAGGTTTTGTTTATAGAGGTGTATTTAGAACTGCCTCAGTAATGGCGTATTGCCTCGATAATGGCTGACTGCCTCAGTAATGGTGGACTGCCTCGTCCATAGTGGACTGCCTCAGTAGTGGTGGACTGCCTAAGTAATGGCAGATGCCCTTCCCCCCCACAGAGCTGGATCATCCCAGGTCCAGCTGCGCTTGCTGTGAAACCCTTAATCCCGAGTGTTTCAGATTGCTGGTCTTTGTGGGGGTGGGACCTGCCAAGCCAGATCACCTTCCTCCCTGTTTCAGCTCCCTTTTTTTCAGTTGAATGGGTGGCTCTGTCTCCCAGGCGTTCCAGGTGCCAGTTGAAATGGCCGTCCAGATTTGTATGACTTTTTGTGTGGAGACCCACTGCACCTCAGCCATGCTGGAAACTCATGGTGCTTTTCAGCCCGGGAATCTCCTGGTCTGTGGGCAGCAATAACTCGTTTGGAAATGCGGTCATCACTCAACCTCTGCTTTGTCCTCACTGGGAACTATACTCCAGAGCTGTTCCTATTTGTCCAGCTTGGATCCGCCTTTCATTGGTTTTTCTTTAATGATTCATGCATTTTGTGTCTTATCTAAAAAAACAATTTGCCTAACCAAAGATTATAAAGATTTTGCTACTGTATTTTCTTTAGCAGTATTATATTATACTTTCAGCTCTTACGTTAGGTGCATAATCGATTTTAGTTTAGTTTTTCTATATGGTATGGGCTGAGAATCCAATCGCTCTGACACTCTTTTTTTTAAACTATTCTTTTGCTGTGGAATTGACTTTCCACCTTTGTCAAAATGTGAATATTCATTTTATTTCTCATATCTTAGACGTGATGTGGACACAAAGACCATAAAGGCATGAGTCTGTTTCTGAATTCTGTTACAGTAATCTGTTTATCTGTGTTTAAGCCAGTAATGCTACCCTATCTTCAGTCTGTGGCTTCATAAGTTTAGACATCACATAGTGTAAATAAGCTAACTTTGTTCTTTTCTAAATTGTTTTGCTATGCTGGTTTATTTGCTTTTTCTTATAAATTTTATAAATGAGCTGCTGAGTTTTTATTAGGATTTTGTTGAGTCTGTTGATTAATTTGGGGAGATTTGACATGTTAACAGTATTGAATCTTCCAACCAACAGACATGGCATTCCATTTACTTAGATCTTGTTTGATTTTATTTCAACAGTGTTTTATAGTTTTCATTGTATAGGACCTATACTTTTGTTCAGTTTATTCCTAAATATTTTGTATTTTTGATACTATAAATAGTTCTTTTTTAAATTTTAATTTCCAGGTGTTCATTGCTAGCATATAGAAACACAGTTTTTGTTGTTGTTGTTGACATGGAGTCTCACTCTGTTTCCAGGCTGGAGTGCAGTGGCACGATCTCGGCTCACTGCAACGTCCACCTCCCAGGTTCAAGCCATTATCCTGCCTCACCTCTCGAGTAGCTGGGACTGCAGGCACTCGCCACCACACCCAGCTAATTTTTGTATTTTTAGTAGAGACGGAAATTAGATTATTTCCATTAGTAATCCCTCTGATGTTTTCCTTGACATGTTCTACATTAGCTGTTTTATAACCTTTTCACATTAACTACTTGGATTTCACCATGTTGGCCAGATGGTCTCAATCTCTTAAACTCTTGTTCTACCCACCTGGGCCTCCCAGAGTGCTGGGATTACAGGTATGCACCACCACATCCAGCCTACAATTGATTTTTATGTATTGACCTTTGTATTCTGTGATCTTACTAAACTCACTAACCTTACTAAACTCAGAGCTTTTTTTAGATTTTTAGAATTTTTGTATAAATGATCTTGTAATTGGCAAATAAGGATACTTCTGCTTCTTCCTTTCCAATCCATGTTCTTTTTATTGATGAATCGTTTTATGGATTATAGTTTTAATAGCTGATTTAAGTTCTTGCCCTAAGTCCTTCATTTGCCATTTCTGAGTATATTTCTGTTGATGGATTTTTCTCCTAGTTGTGAGCCATGTTTCTTTACCACTGTGTGGACTCTACTGCTTTCCAGTGGTACTCTCTTCAGCCTTGTAGTTTTGCCCCACACGTGTACAAATCATTACTTAGCCAATCAAGTCTTTGCAAATCTGTGAAGCTCTCTCTGTACAGTTTCTTTGTCTCTGGTACACTGCCCTAAAATTCTAGCCTGCCAACTCCCCAAAGACTAGCAGGCTATGTTGTAACCTGAAAACTCTCTCCAGGCCATAATCTGAGGCAATTATAGTGCACACCTTATTTTTTCCCCGTCTTTCAGAATCACAGTCTATATTGCTTATTGTCTAGTGTCTGAAAACAATTATTTTATGTTTTTTCTAGTTTTATAGTCGTTTGCCGTGGGAAGGCAGTTTGACTGTTTAATTCTTTGTAGAGGAAGTAAAAGTCTCTTACATATGTATTTTAATACCAGCAGACAGTGCTATGGATAGGTGAGTGATTGTAATTAATGGAAAGAGTTGAAAAGAGAGAAATAATGAGATTATATGACTCTCCCCTCTCT